AATAATCTGGCCACTCAGTGTGTGTGTGTGTGTGTGTGTGTGTGTGTGTGTGTGTGTGTGTGTATGATAGTGGTTACAAGGAGCCAACATACTCATTTTTTTCAAAAGCTCATTCTTCCTTTTATTGTAAAATCCCCAATTTGGTGAGACTCTTTAAGTATGAACTCTGGACATTTGAGTTCATAATTTCACCCAATTTGATAACTATGATTCCAGAAATCTTTCCATCTGTGTGTTCTTGGGCTTTTGAGTCACGTGTGACATTGATAACATAAGATAAGCATTTCTGGTTTATAGTATTGACTATGAGGAGATTAAAGGCACAGTGGGTTATATCAACTATTTTACTTTTTTATTGATTTATAAGAGGTGATTCAAAATAGTGTGAAAAATCTTTGTCATTTTTACTAGTTAAAATCTTTAAGCCTGGCTAGTGTGTCTCCATGGTTGAGCACTGACCTATGAACCAGGAGGTCATGATTTCATTCCCAGTCAGGGCACATGCCCAGTTGTGGGCTTAATCCCCAATAGGGGCTGCTGTGCAGGAGACAGCTGATCACTGATTCTCTGTCATCGTTGATGTTTCTATCTCTCTCTCCCTCTCCCTTCCTCTCTAAAACCAATAAAAATATATTTAAAAAATAAAATCTTTAAGTATAATAAAAATAAATGAATAAAATGATGAAGAATGAATTTTTACATAAAATTGCATGTCTTTATCGTTGCCAATCAGTTACCAAAAATTTTAAGAACCCACTGGGTGTTATAATCTGATTTAATTCCCTAAATATCAAGTCAGAAACTGGTTTTAAGCTCCAGGATCTGGAATATAGCTATTAAAAATGAAAAAGTCCACCAGGTTCATTTTGAAGGTAAAACCTGGAAATGGTGTACAAAACTGAAATATTAGGCAGCTATTGTCAAAGTCAGAAAATTTATGTTAAATTTTCAAATCCACATTTAAGTGTGCTGCTAAATTCCTGTAGTGAAGGTTGGTATTTATTCTGAAAATAGTTATAACATCTGTACAGACACACATCTTTCACTCTTGTGACCAAAGATTTTGTTCATGAGTTTTATTTTTTCAAGTCCTACTTTTTTTTAACTGTCTATCATGGACAACATCTGCATGTCTTTGAAAACTTATAAAGTCCTGTACTCTGAAAAATCTTATGGGAAATACTGATTAAAAGTTTATTTGTGTGCGTGTGTGTTTTTTTAATTTTGATTTTAAATACATTTTGGAAAGAATTTAGATGGTTTCAAATTAAGAAACAGACAATTTTTTTTTCTTATAAACTCTTTTAGCTATTATCACATGAAGGAATCATGACAAAGAAAATTAGAAATGCAGTCTTTGGCATTCTATATCATGCAAATTTTGGTTAGAAATAAGGTAGCATATTGGAACAATTAAATGTATGACTTTAATAGGTTCAGATTCTCTATTGTTCATCAAATACAGAAAGTAAACTAACTCTGTTTAATGTTCTATACAGCTGTAACAGTGTTCTTGACAAAGATTTTTAAATGAAGGAATATGCCATCTTACTAAGGAAAAAAATCCCTTAAAAACAAATACTATGGTCAATGACTAGCCATAAAGTATTTCAAAGTAAAATTATACACACACACACATAACCTTTTTTCTTTTCAAGTAAAGAATCCAACTTACGCAGAGCTTACTGCACATTTGCAGTTTGTGTAAATGAGTTTCAGGCTGTGGAGTCAGATTCAGGAGGAAGGAAGGAAAGTTTTCATTGTCAACACCTGATGAAAAATGTCAGTTGTTGACTATATACCAAGATGGTCAACCTAGAGAATGATTTAAATTTTTCGTATTAAAATTGTGTCCTTTTTGTCTTCAAAAGCAACCCATAGATAATTTTTTTTTAAGTTTCAAAAAATTTTATAATGAAGAATATGAATTATATATAAAAGTAGCCATGGTATAGTATAATAAGCACGTATATATTCCTCATCAAGATTTTACTATCCTATATAATAAAAGCCTAATATGCAAATTGACTGAATGATGGAATGACTGGTTGGTGGGGGGGGGGGCCCGAGAGCAGGCAGCACCAGGCCAGCCAAGGTGGGTGCCAGCGGGCAGAGGGAGGGGACAGTGATTGGGGGCAACAGCGACCTGCAGCAGTGGAGGGGTGATGGAGGTGCGGGCCGGAGTTGCCCCTTGGTGGTCATTGCACTCCCACAGGGGAGTGCTACTTAGCCACAAGCTGGGCTGATGGCTCGTAAGCACAGTGGTGGTGGCGGGAGCCACTCCTGCAGGGCTAAGAATGTCCCACTGGTGGCTTAGGCTTGCTCCCAGGGGGGGAGGGGAACGGGCCTAAGCTGTCAGTCAGACATCCTCCAAGGGCTCCTGGACTGCGAGAGGTCACAGTCCTGGCTGAAGGACACCTCCCTCCCCCGAGTGTATGAATTTTCGTGCACTGGGCCTCTAGTTTTTAATAATTTGCCATATTTGTTTCACTTTTTTCTTTTCTTTTTTTTTTTTTTGCTTGAAATATTTTAAAGTAAAATACATACATTTCATGTTATTTTTAAAACCTGGAAATTTTAGATTGTCTTGATTTATTGAAAGAGACCTGTTCATTTTTTGAGGTTTTTATCTATCTCTGAAATTTGGGTCACGTACAAATTCTTTTTTTTTTTTAAATATATTTTATTGATTTTTTACAGAGAGGAAGGGAGAGAGACGGAGAGAGATAGAGTTAGAAACATCGATGAGAGAGAAACATCGATCAGCTGCCTCCTGCACATCTCCTACTGGGGATGTGCCCGCAACCCAGGTACATGCTCTTGACCGGAATCGAACCTGGGACCTTTCAGTCCGCAAGCCGACGCTCTATCCACTGAGCCAAACCGGTTTCGGCGGTCACTTACAAATTCTTATGGAAGGATTGTGGTATTACCATGTACACATTCAGGCAGTTGTTCTCAACCTTCCTAATGCCGCGACCCTTTAATACAGTTCCTCATGTTGTGGTGACCCCCAACCATAAAATTATTTTCGTTGCTACTTCATAACTAATTTTGGTAGTTATGAATCGTAATGTAAATATCTGATATGCAGGATGTATTTTCATTGTTCGCGACCCACAGGTTGAGAACCGCTGAGT